GTGTGTGTGTGTGTGTGTGTGGTGTGTGTGTGGTGTGTACGTATGTGTATGTGTGTGTTGTGTGTGTTGTATGTGTTGTGTGTATTGTGCGCTTGTGTGTGTTGTGTGTGTGATTTCTGTGTGTGTTTGTATGTGCGTGTGTGTTGTGTGGTTTTTCGCAGGAGATCAATAGCTCCTGTTTTCTTGGACAGGAGCCGTCATATTTGGACGAATGCACGTGGCGGGTCTCTTAACGAAGAAGAGGAGAGGCCGGCGTTAGCCGGGCGATCTGACTGGTAGAAAAATATACCTCGGGTATGAGTCTCTTTGCATGAGAGTGTAAATTTGATTTTGTGCCTCATCAAAGGTCGCAGACGACGGACGTGACATATTAGTGTTGACAATTTCACGTACTCTGGAGTCCAGTGAGACTTCTTTTGGAGAGAGTATGGAAATAAAATCTTCATATATGATGCGTGCCTGGAAAATATGTTCAGTTAAATATATAAAAGACATAATATCCACAAAAACATATGGACCATTTATGCATTCTCAAACAACCGCCATGCCAGCCGTACTCCTTCAGAGATGATTCGACACAAAAAAACTCTTCAATCATTTGAAAATAGCAACCGATGCCAATAAGAGGGACGCAGGCGTAAAAGTCCATACTACTCACTTTTTCTTCAATCTTTTCGGCATTTTTTTCTCGTTTCAATTCTTCACATGCTTGCCAGAAAAGTATATTCTCGTCCGAGTACTCGCCCTTCAGAAATTCAGCGAAGTACTTTTGACCAACTGAAAGTTTCTCGATTGAATTCTCAAAAAGCCACCTTTTCGGAATTTGTTCATATCGGTTCCAACACCCAACAACGAGTATTCTCCAGCTCCTCACTCATTTGTGATGACACACCAGATCTTGTAACTATCGTAAAATAATCTGATACACCTCTAACTCGAATATCACAAATTTTCGTTGTTCGCACCTTTCTTTGCTGCACCTCTACATAGCTCAAAAATCACGATCGAAATCAATCAAAATTGAAATTCTAAAAAACTGTGTTTACGTCCCCAACCCTTCTGAATTTGTTTTTAAAATATCCAGTGAATACTGCATGAAGTTTCATTGATTGCACGAAACTGTGATCAGAACGATGATGGTGAACTTACGTTTGTTCTTCATGAGATTCTCGAATGATTGCGACCATGCATAAACGACTTCATACGTTGGTCTGGAAAAAGCAGATGAAGTTGGTGATATTAATATCATCATTGTTATTGAGGCCGAATACAAAGGTGCCAAGTGGGTTGGGGGGACCACGCGGCGCGGCTGCGTTGCGGCACCCTGCGCTCTCCAGCAAGATAGTAGTGGGCCTGAGTTTGGGAAGGAATGGTAAGGTTGTACTGATGTGTTTCGTGATTCAGAACAAACAATATGCTTGCACATTATGGATACACTTCTTCTGAGCCGATAAAACCTATTTTTTAAGAGGGGAGGGGCTCCGGGGGTGGGTGAGATGGTTGTCTCGTGCAAAAAGCTGAGATGAGATAAAAGTTGAACGTCCAATTGGCTCACCCATCCCGGAGCCCCCCCCCCCTTCCTGAATTAGATGAAAAATACACAGTTACAACATAAAAAACTATGAAACGTCCCTAAACAACGTTTCGGGCTTCCTTCTCTACTATCTCGCTGGAGAGCGCAGGGTGCCGCGCCGCGTGGTCCCCCCAACCCACTTAGCACAGAGTATCCATAATGTGCAAGCATATAGCATGTGCCAAGAGGTAATTTGTTTTGAATCACGAAACACTTCAGTACAACCACACCATCCCTTCCCAGACTCAGGCCCAGTACCACTGTCTCGCCGGAGAGGGCACAGACATGAAAAGGCGCCGCGCCGCCGCGTGGCCCCCACCAACCCACTTAGCACCCAAAAATGTAGATATACAGTTAGAACAAGGAACAAATACACATTTATAGCTAACTTTTACCTTCCTCACCTACTTCGCTAATGCAGCGGATCAGCCCTAAAAGATAGCATTGATGTAATGAAAAAATCATACAGAAAAACGGGTACCGGAACTTCTCCCCGATTGCGGCATTCTCCCTTGCGGCATGCGGCAAATGTCACTGCAATTACCGTACTCACCCCGCCTCCCCGCCAATCGATATGACGCAATATTTTTTGTTGATTGCCTTCTTTTTTATTAGATTTGATTGTTTTTATCTGTTTCTTTTTCGTTTTTATGTTTATTAAACTCAATTAATTAGAATGTCTCCTATATTAGCTACGATAAAGTCCGCATTGGAGTTGAAGAGAGCGACCAGCCAATACAATTAAAGGCATCGTTAGCAATAAATTTACCCTTTTTTGACGGGAATTGATGGAACTACTCTAAAATAAAGCGATAACAACGAAAAACGCGCAAAAAACGATGAACAAAAAGAATCACAAAGGGTCAAAAAAAGAGCTGGAAAGGGGGGTTGGACGAGTTCGAGGCTTCGAGGCAGTGTTCGGGCGAGTGCACGAAGGCGACGCAATGCGTTGTCTGCAATAGCAGACAACACATTGCGTCTCTGGCAATTTGCCAACCAGCTTATCGACTTTTCACCAACTTCGCTCCAATACGAAAGTGGTGAACGGGACTTAGAATTCGTAGTCAGCCTAGCGAGGGGCGGAGGGCGACCGTGGATAACTCTCCGGCCCCTTATTGTGCCCTATCCAGCCGTTTTCCGACCTCATTCCTGCACAAATGGTATCAGAGGGGGCGTCGAATTCAAACCATGTGCAAATCTCCGAAACCATTTTTTCGTGAACAGTGCCTTTAATCAAAGGACTCCCTACCTTAAAAATAGCGCGCTCCAATCTTCCATCGCAATCCATCGATTCGCGGCAGGTGCGGTGTGCGGGACGCCGCTTTCGGGGAGAAGATTCCTGACCCCAGAGAGACGGTAAACCGCTAGCAAGCATTGACACGGATGCGATTCTGATTGGTGCCAATGGAAGAAAGTGAAAAATAAGCAGATGTAGCTGGTGAAGTTCCTTCACAACAGGCACCAGGCTCACTTGCTTAACGCTCTCAAGAGCTATCAATGTCAGTGACTAAGCGCGAGCTCTATTCTTACACTCTAGGGTACGAGCAGAGTTCAAGGCTCGCAAGGTCGCAGTTAGACCCCTGAGTTCTGCACAGCAGTTACTAAAAAAATGCTCAACCCCAAATTTGTGAGCGCATCTTAGCGATTCCAAGAACGTAACGATAAGAGGACTGCCAATTGAACACAAGCAAAACATGCAAGCTGACGCTTAGAAGTACGTGCACATAATGCTCCCCCGCCAGACCCTTTCACAAAATCTTCAAGAAACCCTTTGATTTACAACTTTACATGTTCGGGAATTAATTTACTACTCCATTTTAAAAACCGTTATAATATTGTTCAGGAAAAAGCTTGATTTCATAAAGCACAATCTCATAACATTTTACCTTGTCAGCGAGACTAATATCAAAATACCCGCTTAGGTTAAGAGTAGTGAGGCTTTAATGCATGCTATTCGCTAGCACAATTACGGTACTCAACTATTATATATATATATATATGTTTATATAAATTCCATGAACGTAACTATATATATATATATATATATATATATATATATATATATA